AGAGCAGGGGGAAGGCCATCGGAGCCCGGCGCTTTGTGACGTCCCAAGGCTTGGATCTCCTTACAGATTTCCGCCTCGGAAAGTGGAAGACAGAGGGTGGTCGTGAATGGGTTGTTAGGTGAATGAGTGAGAGTTCATGCACGGAGGTTACCTCACCAGATTGTTAGTGGATGGTTATGGTAAGACCAAGGCTCTTCCAAACTGTTTCTGGGCGCAAAAGGAAGGGGGGTCTAAAGACGGATGGCAATCGTCTCGGCTGTTGACAAAATTCTGAAATTGGCCTCTTTGGATAACCTACCCTTGACCGTATAGAGAGGACGGAAAGCCTCAAGTACATTGACAGTGTGATTGGACTCAGCTTAATGGTTAGTCTTATCATGGCCATCTGGAGACGTTACCTTCGTTCACGAAATCTTACTCATTCACCTACTCACCCATTCACAACCACCCCCTTTCCATGCATACACACGGATAAACACGCTCACAAACATCAATCATTACAAATAAATAATCTCTATTTAAATTCTGATTTCCTTCGCACAAATATCTCCTCTCACTGTACTGTATTGTACTACAGTACAGTGTTGTAACACTGAAAAAGAGCTTGTTTCCTAACTTGCGTTCTCAAAGAACCAGAGATGTGGCGAACAAGCTTGCTTTCAGTGCTTTATCTACTGACTAATTAAAGCACATCATATAACACATCATATATATAACATGGAAGACAGTCAAATCCGAGTTCAACTATGTGCAAAATAGAAGCTGAGGGTTCTAACACTGACTGCATAATCGATGATGATCCCTTGGGGAGTGTGAATATTCGACTACAATGTTAGGTGAGGACACTTCGGACAGGTGACCACGGAGGGAAAGGGACTTAACGAACTACTGTATTCCGTTTCGCCTGTTCGTCGAGCTTGGCAATTTGTTTGCAAACGTTTCATCACCAGCCGAGGTAACATCATCGGTGCTTGTGAAGTGGCAGTGTCCTGTCTGTACCCGTTCGTTTATACATGCGTTCTTCTCCACCGGCTATTTTCGTCCCCTGTTCTCACTGTGTTCGACTCGGTCCGCCGTTGAACTGTTGCGAGCGGTTGGGGGTGGGAGGGGAGGAAGTTGACCTTTCGTCCCGATTGCGGTTTCCGTCCGTTCCCAGGTCACAGCGTGACCTTCGTTGAGTCATTTGGTCCTTCAGTTGCATTGGCGTGTACACGTGATCCAGTTCGATGTGCCTGTTTATTGAGTTGATTGAAGAATGCCGGGCCTCGAGAACTTCTCTGGCATGTTTTGACCGGGCTTGGTCGATAATTCTCACTGATTCGAAGTCAACTTGATGTCCTTCTTGATCTCCGTGGAGGGAAATCAACGATAGCGGGTCATGCCTCCTGACTGCCGATTGGTATTCACGGATCCTTGTTGACAGTTTTCTCCCAGTTTGTCCGACATAGTGTTTTGAACAGTTCTTGCAGTTTATTTCGTAGATGACGCTGCTCTTGTCCTTCTACATTGTTCCCTCCTTGGGTTTTGACAGAAGTCCCCTTAGTCAGGCGATTGTTTTGTGGGCGACTTGGATTCCATACGATCTGAGAAGTCTTGCTGACATTTCCGGAGCGTCCTTGATGTACGGCAGGGTCGTTCTTGTTCCCGATTCTCCGTCTGTTGTTGCCTTCTTTCTTTGAGCCAGAGTTTTTTTTATGAAGTTGCGGGGGTAGCCATTGCAAGCGAACACTTTTAAAAGGTATCTTTCTTCGTTCTTCTTGAGTATGTCGGTGATGCAGTGCGTTTGGATTCTTCCGAACAGGGTTTTAACGCAGCATCTTTTGTGACTCTGTGGGTGATTACTTTTGAAGTTTAGGATTTGAACTGTATGTGTTGCCTTGCGGTAGACCGTTTTCTCCAGTTTTCCTGATGGCGTTCTGATGATCAAGATGTCCAAAAACGCCAGTTGTTTTTCCTTCTCGGTCTCCATTGTGAACTTGATGCCGTTGAATGTGTTATTGACAATGTTGTAAGTTCGTTCTAGTTCCGACTTCTCCAAGATGACGAATGTGTCATCAACGTATCGAAGCCAAAGTTTTGGTACGATTCTTGTTTGTACCTCCTTTTCCAGCTTCTGCATTACTGCTTTGGCTATGAATCCAGAAATTGGCGATCCCATTGGTGTTCCTTTCAGCTGTTCGTAGATTTCACCCTGGAATTTGAAGTACGTCTGCATGCATAGTTCCATGAGTTCGCAAATGGCAGCTGGTTCCGTTGATGGATTTGATGGGTGCTCAGTCATCAGTTCCCGCAAAGTGGATCTTGCCTGGTCCAAGTCGATTGAAGTAAACAAAGCGGTGATGTCGAACGAGACCATTATTTCGTCTTCTTGGATGTTGACAGTTTTGAGCTTGTCCAGGAAGTGTCTTGAGTTCATGACACTATACTCATGTCCAGCGATGAGCGGCTTCAGTCGGTTCCATAATTCTTTTGCCATCTTGTATGTGGCTGTTCCTGGAAGGGAGACGATCGGCCTCAGGGGAAATCCTTCCTTGTGTATCTTCGGCAGTCCGTAGAATTGTGCGATAACGGAGTTTTTGGCTCTCGTCCTCCAGTGCTCCGCTTTGGTTATTTGATGCAGTTCTTCCAGTTGTTTCAATGTGGTATTGATTTTATTTTCCAGTTTTNTCCGGGGGGGGGGGGGGGGGTCCATGTCAATTCTGCGGTAGGTGTCTGTGTCTTGGAGTAGTTGTCTGGCCTTTTGAATGTAGTCAGTTTTGTCCATAACCACGGTAATTCGTCCTTTATCTGCTGGTAGTATGACGATATTTCTGTCCATCTTCAGTGTTTTGAGTGCTTCGTCCTCGCGGTTCGATGGCATATTGGGTTTTCCTTTTCGCATCAGGGCTGGGACGACCGTTTGTCGGATGGTTTATTTCGCATCCTCAGGTATAGTGGACGACTTGAGAGTTTGTTCCAGTTCCGCCAAGTATTCCTTGTTTGTGACATTTCCGAATTTGAAGTTGAGTCCTTTATTTAAGATTCGTTTTTCATCCTGTGTGATCACGCGATTGGAGAGATTTCGGACCCAGTTTTCATTTTCATCCATTAGCATATGACCCTCCAACTTGTGGAGCTTTCTTTAGAGTGCCAGTTTTATTTTTCTTTTGACATTTTTGATGCGTCGACTTATTACATCTTCAAGCTGTTCCATCCGCGGTTCGTTCAATATAGTTCGACAGTTCTCCTGTTCTTCTTATATAACCTCCTTGTACTTGATAAGACGTCTGTGAGCATCCGAGATCATCATACACACCATGCGCCTTCCGAATTGGTGTGAAATACTCCAGGCCTCCGGTTGATTGATCGGTGGTCTGTGGTATACGCTCCGTGGAAGTAGATTGCGCCGTAGGCATTCGTGAAGAAAAATAGCTGCTTGTGACTGGAGACTTCTCGGCAGGTGAAAACCTCCTATCGGCGAGCTGATTTTAGCGTTGTACGCCCGAAAAATGTTGATAAAATATTGAAAATTGGTTCTCTTAGCTCGGGTGAACTGAATTCCGTTTCGCCTGTTCGTCGAGCTTGGCAATTTGTTTGCAAACGTTTCATCACCAGCCGAGGTAACATCATCGGTGCTTGTGAAGTGGCAGTGTCCTGTCTGTACCCGTTCGTTTATACATGCGTTCTTCTCCACCGGCTATTTTCGTCCCCTGTTCTCACTGTGTTCGACTCGGCCCGCCGTTGAACTACTCTATGCATGCCGTGGGAGTTTGTTTATGCTAATCGCTGTCACCTCTGCCGTAGATAGCAATCAGGTTTTAATATCCTTAGATTAGATTTCCGTTAGTGAATAGATTGGACGAAGCGATTCCCAGACACCGACCTAATAGAAGAACATCACCAGCTTGGCTCAGTCGGAGTTGATAAGGACAGATGCGACTGCGGTGGCCGAGACGAATCACACCGTAGATGTGTGGGAATCGTTCCGTCGAGTCTATTCGAAAACGGGGATCCGGTTTAAGGATCATAAAGCCCAATTACTATCTACAGCAGAGGCAATAGTGATTAGAATAAACAAACCTCAACTTCGTGCACACAAACAGTTCGCGAAATTGGAAGCACAGTTTCCCCGTAACGAATTTGAATAGAGAAGCCAAAAAACACACGTTTGGTTAATGTATCTAGTTGATGAATGTTTGGAGTAGCCCATTCGATTTTTCACAGGCACAAGGTACTGTTGACGATGTTTGGTGTGTGTTTTACGCCTTGGGAGATAGTTCATTCCTCACTATTCGAATGTATTTCAATGCGGTGGAAATGTTTGTGATAACCGACAAAGACAGCTATTTCGTCCCATTTGGGACTCGTCAGCAGTGCGTATATCTTTTCCCTGTCGGGATTCAAAACGCGAACCTTCGGGTTGGGACTGCAAACTCTTACTTACCCCTAAGCTAAACCGTCGACGGTTATCACTCTGTGCGAATGACTCAATCAATTTAGATGGTGAATGTTAACCGTCGACCTTACAGTTCAGGGGTAAGGGTTTGCAGTCCCGACCCGAATGTTTGCGGTTCGAGTTCTGATAGGGAAACAAAAGTGCGCACTGCTGACGGGTCACAAACATTCCCATCGCATTTATTTGCCTAATGTGTCCTGAGTAGTTTCGTTACATCTGTATACGTGCATACTACACTTTATGTGGCCGTTGAGGTCGAAAATACTCACCGCACACATTTGTTACCAAGGTAGGGTCAGAGTGATAAGCCACTCATGCTGTTTACACTCTTAGGGATAAAAAGTTTGAATGGCTAGTGCCTCGGCGTGTTTGTGAACACCGGTATTGTTTGTGCCGTAGAGGAGTTTGAACGCGCTGCCCTGCAGGACACAGTTTTCCATTTCGACCAGGTGTAGTGTGATCGACTTAGACAACTGCGTTACCCAGTAACCGAACGCATCCCGGTCTGGCTTCAGAAACCGATGAATATCCACCTTTCGGGGTGCATAAAGCAAATACTTGACTTGACTTGACTTGAGTGGAAACGTCGGAAGTACGATGTCACCGATGACCCATAGGGAACTCAGTTTCTCGATCAAAACATCTGTGTCTTGCAGGGCAACGCGTTCAAAATCCTATATAACACAAACAACACCAGGGTTCTGAAGCACGCCGAGGCACCAGCCATTCCAAATTACCATCCTCAACTGTGTAAACAGCGTGAGTGACTTACCACTCTGACTCTACCTTGGTAACAAATGTGTTTGGTGAGTAATTTTGACCACAATCTTTCTTCGCCTTTGATTCTGTTATTTCTGGTCATATGTTAATGGTCACATAAACTGCAATATGTAGGTGTGCAAATGCAACGAAATGATCCAGGACACACTGAGCAAACTTGGTTTTGGCTTCTGTATTCAAATTCCTCAAATCCCTTGCCCTGGTGTGGTCATTCACCGCTATTGCTGACTTCACAGGCTGCAACAACCTGTGTAGTGTGACGCGTGAAAAATCCAGAAAACGATATCTTTCATCAAACGAGTTTCTTCTACAAAACAGCACTGAGATACAGATTACAATAGCGAAAAATATGCACACCTCAAACTGTGACACTATCCGGTTTAGCAGACACCTGGATATGTGAAACCAGTAGCTCCACAAGTGGGGAGCAAACAGGCACGCAGTGTGATGACAATGGAGCAAATTAACCAAACGGTGTCAAACAGGAACATCTGTGATAATCAATCGTGGAAAGTGACCAATCGACACTCGGTGGGCGTGAACGCTGGCCACTCGGTATAGGTGTGAACCGAGAGTGTGGGTAAGCCCCTGTGAACGTGCGCAGGCGGGGGTGAGTACACAAGTGTCAGAATCAAACAATCATCGGAATGGATCAGTCAGATGGGTGAGGAACTTTCGCAAAAGGGAGCGTAGTGCAGAAAACAACTATTGGTACGTTCAGTTTCAGTTTGTACAACCATTAACTGTACACTTTCGATCACCAGTTTTGGTTTCCATCTTTTGGTTGCCCATTCGGATGAACAGTGGGAGAAAGACAGGATGGTTGAAAGTAGAGCCTATTAGAAAATAAAGAATTTCAGTGGACATATGTTGCAAAAAACTGACAAGATGCACAAATATCACTGTATACGGCACTCAACCATAGCACTCAGCACCAGTTACGATCATCCCGGGAAGCCTAACGGGACCTATGTGACCCAGTCTCCTGGTTAGGGTTTTCATACCCTCTTGTCAGGTCTTGGTTTGATCGCCCTTGGCTTTATTCCACCCACTACCTGCCTCGGTAAACATCGCTCGCCGTGGCAGTCTATCTGGTGACATGCGTAACACATGCCCCAATCAGTGAAATGTTTGGAGGTCGACCACGTACTCCAGTCGTCGACCGCGGTTACCCAAAAGTTTGCGTCTAACCTCAGCGTTGCTAATATGATTGCTCCACCAGATTCGTGCAATGCTGTGTAGACAGTGGTGTTCAAACACCGATAGAGTATCTTTATCCTGTTTTCTCAATGGCAAACTTTCGGCGCCGTATAGCAGAACTGGTCTAACTGTCGCAGCATATACTCGACTGCGGTATTCCAGACATACGTGACCGCATTCCAAGCACGACCAAGTACAGCTTCATGTCATCCAATCACAGTTCAGGAAGCTCGGCCAATGGTACACCGGGAGAACATTACATACGAGTTAGTACATGTGATGCGTCTGCGTGGACGGTGCGTGATTGGACGACGGTCTTTCAACCAATGATACTATTACTTTCTATTAAACATGCTCTAATTCTATCAGTAAACATAAGCATTTGCTGCTACCAATTCCTCGTTTATTTCATTGGTATCTGCAGTTCGGGTTGGAGCCAATCCAGTTCTGAGCATTACAGTAGGCGTTCTCGTATTCCGATATTCAATACTATCCTGATCACCAAATCGACACTTCGTGAAGTGACGGACAGCCGGATGTCGTGACGGCNACAGATGTTTCAATTGGACAAATGCTAATCGAGCCTTTTCTGTGCGAGCTGATTCTTCATCCGCGATGCATTCGCCGGGTGAGATATGGCTGCCCAAATAACAGAAATTACCCATTCTCTCCATTACTTCCCCAGTTGGATTGAGACTGGGTGCTGGACCACCCGAATCTTATAGTAACATTTTACACTTTAAAGGTGCAAAACGAATAATGAAGATGGCTATGCTATCCGAAAAAGCTTGCATCTTACCTGGATCTTCACTTAGCAGTACAATGTCGTCTGCATACTCCAGATGAAACAGTCTGTTATCTGGTAGCAAATCGATGTCCCTATCCTCGGACAAGGATATGGCTGTTTCCATAATCAAATCTATAACAACATTAAACAGGAAAGGAGAGAGAGGACAACCCTGATGAACACCTTTTTCCGAGGTGAACTCGGGTGAAAACGTGCCGTGCGTTTTTGGAAACGGTGTCATGGGCGGTCGCAGACACGGAGCAATGGAAGAATCAAGTCGATGAAATACGGATAATATAGGAACAAAAGCGATATGAATGTGGTGCGGAGTGTGCGCATATAAAGGATTTTCACAATGAATGATCGATGGGTCAATTTGAAGCATGTTGAGTTCAACAAGGGTTCAACTGAAGTCAAATTGGCAGACAAGCTCGTTTTCGGTTCATCATTAGATAGTCAAGTACAGCACACTTTCATAACTCAAGATAACATTGATTAAGGAAACAGAAAAAACAGATCACATCCGATTATGTATGCGTGTATGGATAATACTGTTCGGGTTACATGAAAGGTTAAATTATTCTGCAAATGTCACATGTATTCTAGAATAAATCTACTTTTTTTCTTCCTCTGTGACTCATATTAACGTATGAAAGAGAGCTGAATTTGGCTTGTAACTGATGCACTGAAAGCGAGATTATTGTTTATCAAACTGACTTCTTGATGCAGTGCAGTTCCGTTAATTGGTGAATAGTTAGTTGTACGAAACCATTCAAATCCATAGTTCAAGTGGATACAGTTCAATAACAACACAAACGAAACTAGATCACCGTACGTGTTTATCAAACTTCATTCCAAATTTGTCTATCACTGAATGTTTAGCTGTAAAATGATGCTTTTCCGGAACACGTTGCGCCAAGGCTGACTGAACTCATAGAAAAAGTATTTTACTCTTTGCAAGTATCGAAATCAAAGCAATCGGCGGTTTCTCTGAGATCTTTTTCTCTGCAGCAAGAAATATAGTCGAACCGTTATTGAGCAACCATTTTTAAGCTTGCAAGAACTGATATACATATATCTTCGTACTGCGTAAATGTCTATGTATACTCGGGAAACACCACTCATCGTGGGTAAAGCTGATGAACAATTCATGTAAGTTTGGATCTATAGGACGTGTGAAAAATTAACCTAGAAACTCATCCAAACAACTTACTGATCACGAACAGCACTGATTAATGGCTCTTCTATGTTTGCAGGTGAAATCAAATCAATACGCGATCCTTAAATTCCGAAGACCATGACCACCCGATGATGGAGCCTTGATTGTAACCGGTAGAAATTCATCTGGAACATATACCTTCTTTTGGGTATTACTATCTGAGTGGCTATCTAGTGGGTCGCGTTCCGACCATCATGTTTCATGACTGAGATAAGTCTCCATTACCCGTATTATGCGCGTGCATAAACTATTGAGGCGTGACCACAATGTAATCCACGTGCTTTGGCGTACCTGTTATGTAACGTTGGATTTAAACTTGAATGAGATTTATCTTGAGAGCTTTGGGTGGGTGATGGACACACAATCACTGCATCATCCATGATGCCTGCTTTATCCACAATGTCCGGGGAGATTACTGACAGTCAGGAATTAATTCCATTCCTCTTCCCGTTGGACGATAAAGTAAGCATACATACGAATTTGTAGCCTGTTCCACATTTGGAAAATGCTTCTCATCAACTGATTTCCTAACTCAATAATGAGGGTGATTTTTCACATGAAGTGAGTTGAGTAGTGAATGCAACTATGAGGGTCACAATTTTAATATGCAATGAAGTCTCTTTATGTAACTAGAGATGAACCAAGCAGATCGAATAGATGCACCAATTCTTCACCATTTCTGCTGATTTAAAACGGAATTGAGACGTCTTCAGCCCTCCTTTTGAGTATCTGTGAAGAGAAGTGATGCATGGAGGGGGATGACAACAGATCTAAGTAAGAACGAAGGATTTACAAATCGTATCGATCAATATATCTCTCGCAACGATTTAGCCAACCCGGATAATATGTTTTTTTCCGTTGGCTTATGGATTTCACAACAGCTCCACCTGTGAATGAAACTAACACCACTTCCTCGCTACGGCAATTGTAGGCAAAAGCTTGTGAAGTTGATCGAAGTGCTTGTAATAGGGTTTCTGACTTAACCGTGAACTTGCTATTCACACGTCACGGTAATGGGAGCAAATCTTATTAATTCCGGATCGCCCCACTTGAAAGGTCAGTAGTGTCAAAATAAACATCAAGCTTTC